GCCATCCTGGTAGTATCTGTCTGAGAAAAGTACATTCAGAGAGCAGCCTGATTCATATAAACTTCTCACAAAATAAGGAAATGATAAGAGAATCAGCACGGCAAAGAGTACAAAGAACATTGTAGAAAATAATATAATCTGTAATTTTCTTCTTCAGTGGATTCCTGCTGATATGGGAGATATTGATGTGCAGAGAGCTATGCCGGATGTCCAGCACAGATTAACACATCTTGTGTGATGACATGGCCCCCTCCGCACGATGACTGCTCTTACAGCTGAAATCAGCATATTTTATCCTCCGCAGCTCTCCCTACGGTGTCTCTTCTATGTAATTAACTTATGTATTTTTGTGGAAATTATACAGTACGGAAAATGCAACTTAGAATTTGAATAATTGGCTATGAAAAAAATAATCAAATGAAAAACATATTTACGTCAAACTCTTTTACCTGCTCAACAATATGAGTAGTTTTATTATATAACCCCACTCCCTCTAACATGTAAACTCACTGAGCGGGCCCTCAATCCCTCTGTTACTGTGTCACTATACCCCACTCCCTCTAACATGTAAACTCACTGAGCAGGCCCTCAATCCCTCTGTTACTGTGTCACTATACCCCACTCCCTCTAACATGTAAACTCACTGAGCAGGCCCTCAATCCCTCTGTTACTGTGTCACTATACCCCACTCCCTCTAACATGTAAACTCACTGAGCAGGGCCTCAATCCCTCTGTTACTGTGTCACTATACCCCACTCCCTCTAACATGTAAACTCACTAAGCAGGGCCCTCAATCCCTCTGTTACTGTGTCACTATACCCCACTCCCTCTAGCATGTAAGCTCACTGAGCAGGGACTCAATTCCTCTGTTACTGTGTCACTATACCCCACTCCCTCTAACATGTAAACTCACCGAGCAGGCCCAATCCTCTGTTGTCATTTCATATACTCCCAACCTCTAGTATGTAAACTCACTGAGCAGGGCCCTCAATCCTCTGCTTACTGTCACTATACCCCACCCCCAACATGTAAGCTCACTGAGAAGGCCCTCAATCCCTCTGTTACTGTGTCACTATACCCCACTCCCTCTAACGTAAACTCACTGAGCAGAGCCTCAATCCCTCTTTTACTGTCACTATACCCCACTCCCTCTAACATGTAAACTCACTGAGCAGGGCCTCAATCCCTCTGTTACTGTGTCACTATACCCCACTCCCTCTAACATGTAAACTCACTGAGCAGGCCCTCAATCCCTCTGTTACTGTCAGTATACCCCACTCCCTCTAGCATGTAAGCTCACTGAGCAGAGCCCTCAATCCCTCTGTTACTGTGTCACTATACCCCACTCCCTCTAGCATGTAAGCTCACTGAGCAGGGCCCTCAATCCTTCTGTTATTGTGTCACTATACCCCACTCCCTATAACATGTAAACTCACTGAGCAGGGCCCTCAATCCCTCTGTTACTGTGTCACTATACCCCACTCCCTCTAACGTAAACTCACTGAGCAGAGCCTCAATCCCTCTTTTACTGTCACTATACCCCACTCCCTCTAACATGTAAACTCACTGAGCAGGGCCTCAATCCCTCTGTTACTGTGTCACTGCTGCCCCTCCCCTCCCAACATATGTAAGCTCACTGGGCAGACTCGTCTGTGCTGTCATTATGCCGCTCCCTCCCCAGCATTATGAAGCTCACTGAGCAGGGCCCTCCCTACATGCCCTCCTGTTGCTGTGTCACTGCTGCCCCACTCCCTCCCTAGCCTGTAGGCTCACTGGGCAGGACCTCAATCCCTCCTGTTACTGTGTCTGCCACCCCTCCCTCACAACATGTAAAACTCACTGAGCAGGGCCTCAATCCCTCTGTTACTGTGTCACTATACCCCACTCCCTCTAACATGTAAACTCACTGAGCAGGCCCTCAATCCCTCTGTTACTGTCAGTATACCCCACTCCCTCTAGCATGTAAGCTCACTGAGCAGAGCCCTCAATCCCTCTGTTACTGTGTCACTATACCCCACTCCCTCTAGCATGTAAGCTCACTGAGCAGGGCCCTCAATCCCTCTGTTACTGTGTCACTATACCCCACTCCCTCTAACGTAAACTCACTGAGCAGAGCCTCAATCCCTCTGTTACTGTCACTATACCCCACTCCCTCTAACATGTAAACTCACTGAGCAGGGCCTCAATCCCTCTGTTACTGTCACTATACCCCACTCCCTCTAGAATGTAAACTCACTGAGCAGGCCCTCAATCCTTCTGTTACTGTGTCACTATACCCCACTCCCTCTAACATGTAAACTCACTGAGCAGGCCCTAAATCTCTCTGTTACTGTGTCACTATACCCCCACTCCCTCTAACATGTAAACTCACTGAGCAGGGCCCTCAATCCCTCTGTTACTGTCACTATACCCCACTCCCTCTAACATGTAAACTCACTGAGCAGGGCCCTCAATCCCTCTGTTACTGTGTCACTATACCCCACTCCCTCTAACATGTAAACTCACTGAGCAGGGCCATCAATCCCTCTGTTACTGTCACTATACCCCACTCCCTCTAACATGTAAACTCATTGAGCAGGGCCCCCAATCCCTCTGTTACTGTGTCACTATACCCCACTCCCTCTAACATGTAAACTCACTGAGCAGGCCCTCAATCCCTCTGTTACTGTGTCACTATACCCCACTCCCTCTAACATGTAACCTCACTGAGCAGGACCCTCAATCCCTCTGTTACTGTGTTACTATACCCCACTCCCTGTAACATGTAAACTCACTGAGCAGGCCCTCAATCCCTCTGTTACTGTGTCACTATACCCCACCCCCTCTAACATGTAAACTCACTGAGCAGGGCCCTCAATCCCTCTGTTACTGTCACTATACCCCACTCCCTCTAACATGTAAACTCACTGAGCAGGCCCTCAATCCCTCTGTTACTGTCACTATACTCCACTCCCTCTAGCATGTAAACTCACTGAGCAGGCACTCAATCCCTCTGTTACTGTGTCACTATACCCCACTCCCTCTAACATGTAACCTCACTGAGCAGGGCCCTCAATCCCTCTGTTACTGTGTCACTATACCTCACTCCCCCTAACATGTAAACTCACTGAGCAGGGCCCTCAATCCCTCTGTTACTGTGTCACTATACCCCACTCCCTCTAACATGTAAACTCACTAAGCAGGGCCCTCAATCCCTCTGTTACTGTGTCACTATACCCCACTCCCTCTAGCATGTAAGCTCACTGAGCAGGGACTCAATTCCTCTGTTACTGTGTCACTATACCCCACTCCCTCTAACATGTAAACTCACCGAGCAGGCCCTCAATCCCTCTGTTACTGTCACTATACCCCACTCCCTCTAGCATGTAAGCTCCCTGAGCAGGGCCCTCAATCCCTCTGTTACTGTGTCACTATACCCCACTCCCTCTAACATGTAAGCTCACTGGGCAGGGCCCTCAATCCCTCTGTTACTGTGTCACTATACCCCACTCCCTCTCACATGTAAACTCACTGAGCAGGGCCCTCAATCCCTCTCTTACTGTCACTATACCCCACTCCCTCTAGCATGTAAACTCACTGAGCAGGGTCCTCAATCCCTCTGTTACTGTATCACTATACCCCACTCCCTCTAACATGTAAACTCACTGAGCAGGGCCCTCAATCCCTCTGTTACTGTGTCACTATACCCCACTCCCTCTAACATGTAACCTCACTGAGCAGGCCCTCAATCCCTCTGTTACTGTGTCACTATACCCCACTCCCTCTAACATGTAAACTCACTGAGCAGGGCCTCAATCCCTCTGTTACTGTGTCACTATTCCCCACTCCCTCTAACATGTAAACTCACTGAGCAGGGCCCTCAATCCCTCTGTTACTGTGTCACTATACCCCACTTCCTCTAACATGTAAACTCACTGAGCAGGCCCTCAATCCCTCTGTTACTGTGTCACTATGCCCCACTCCCTCTAACATGTAAACTCACTGAGCAGGCCCTCAATCCCTCTGTTACTGTGTCACTATACCCCACTCCCTCTAACATGTAACCTCACTGAGAAGGCCCTCAATCCCTCTGTTACTGTGTCACTATACCCCACTCCCTCTAACATGTAAACTCACTGAGCAGGCCCTCAATCCCTCTGTTACTGTCACTATACCCCACTCCCTCTAACATGTAAGCTCACTGAGCAGGGCCCTCAATACTTCTGCTCCTGTGTGTCCAACTTTTCTGGTTACAAATATGTGTTTGTTAGTCCACCTATTGTACAGCGCTACGGAACATGTTGGCGCTTTACAAACAATTAAACACAGAGCAGGAATATCTGTATTATACACAGGTGTAGGTTTTGTTATGTTCTAATTGTTGTTTGTAAGTATATGATGTGGTGTCCACCAGAGGGCAGTATAAGTACTATTATTACTGGATTTTAAGCCGACAGATTTGCAGCAATTCAAAATATTAAGAGGACTTTAGCAACAAGACAAAATATTAGACATTTTGACAGGAATAATATGTAATATTTATTTATTTTACATATATAAAATGATAGAAAATGTATTGGTCAAACTACTGTTTGTGTTATCTAGAGTAGAGCTCCTGCAATCTGTGTCAGTAGAGATTGTATAAAGTCACCTAGCGAGGAGCTCCTGCAATCTGTGTCAGTAGAGATTGTATAAAGTCACCTAGCGAGGAGCTCCTACTCTCTGTGTCATTAGAGATTGTATAAAGTCACCTAGCGAGGAGCTCCTGCAATCTGTGTCAGTAGAGATTGTATAAAGTCACCTAGCGAGGAGCTCCTGCAATCTGTGTCAGTAGAGATTGTATAAAGTCACCTAGCGAGGAGCTCCTACTCTCTGTGTCATTAGAGATTGTATAAAGTCACCTAGCGAGGAGCTCCTGCTCTCTGTGTCATTAGAGATTGTATAAAGTCACCTAGCGAGGAGCTCCCACTCTCTGTGTCATTAGAGATTGTATAAAGTCACCTAGCGAGGAGCTCCTGCAATCTGTGTCAGTAGAGATTGTATAAAGTCACCTAGCGAGGAGCTCCTGCTCTCTGTGTCATTAGAGATTGTATAAAGTCAACTAGCGAGGAGCTCCTGCTCTCTGTGTCATTAGAGATTGTATAAAGTCACCTAGCGAGGAGCTCCTGCTCTATGTGTCATAAGAGATTGTATAAAGTCACCTAGCGAGGAGCTCCTGCTCTCTGTGTCATTAGAGATTGTATAAAGTCACCTAGCAAGGAGCTCCTACTCTCTGTATCATTAGAGATTGTATAAAGTCAACTAGCGAGGAGCTCCTGCTCTCTGTGTCATTAAAGATTGTATAAAGTCACCTAGCGAGGAGCTCCTGCTCTCTGTGTCATTAGAGATTGTATAAAGTCACCTAGCGAGGAGCTCCTGCTCTCTGTGTCATTAGAGATTGTATAAAGTCACCTAGCGAGGAGCTCCTGCTCTCTGTGTCATTAAAGATTGTATAAAGTCACCTAGCGAGGAGCTCCTGCTCTCTGTGTCATTAGAGATTGTATAAAGTCACCTAGCGAGGAGCTCCTGCTCTCTGTGTCATTAGAGATTGTATAAAGTCACCTAGCAAGGAGCTCCTACTCTCTGTATCATTAGAGATTGTATAAAGTCAACTAGCGAGGAGCTCCTGCTCTCTGTGTCATTAGAGATTGTATAAAGTCACCTAGCGAGGAGCTCCTGCTCTCTGTATCATTAGAGATTGTATAAAGTCACCTAGCGAGGAGCTCCTGCTCTCTGTGTCATTAGAGATTGTATAAAGTCACCTAGCGAGGAGCTCCTGCTCTCTGTGTCATTAGAGATTGTATAAA